AGTATATATATAATAATAATAATAATAATAATAATAATAATAATAATAATAATAATAATAATAATAATAATAATAATAATAATAATAATAATAATAATAATAATAATAATAATAATAATAATAATAATAATAATAATAATAATAATAATAATAATAATAATAATAATAATAATAATAATAATAATAATAATAATAATAATAATAATAATAATAATAATAATAATAATAATAATAATAATAATAATAATAATAATAATAATAATAATAATAATAATAATAATAATAATAATAATAATAATAATAATAATAATAATAATAATAATAATAATAATAATAATAATAATAATAATAATAATAATAATAATAATAATAATAATAATAATAATAATAATAATAATAATAATAATAATAATAATAATAATAATAATAATAATAATAATAATAATAATAATAATAATAATAATAATAATAATAATAATAATAATAATAATAATAATAATAATAATAATAATAATAATAATAATAATAATAATAATAATAATAATAATAATAATAATAATAATAATAATAATAATAATAATAATAATAATAATAATAATAATAATAATAATAATAATAATAATAATAATAATAATAATAATAATAGTTTTTTTTTCTTTTCCAGGTTTCGATACAAACACCAAACTGGAAAAATTTACGAGGAAAATTTTTTTTATTCGACACCTGAAGGTAAGTAAATAATCGTCCGATTTATTTTAACCGGAGCAAATAATTTTGTACTTAAATAAAAAAAAATGCTATTTTCGTGATAAGAGATAATTTCCAAAAAAGTAAATGATAATGATGATGATGATGATATCGTTAAAAAAACGAGGGGTGGGGGGAAGTAGTGGGGTAGAGGATAAAATTTAAATTCAGGTAATGAAAAAAAAAAAAAAAAGATTTTTCAATGTCATCATGAAAGGGAAAAGGGGGCGGAGCGGAACGGGGAAGAAGATTAAATTGTTTCCTACTGGAAAACTGGAAAAGGTGGAGATGGATTTAAAAGAAAGGAAGAGAGGAGAGAGAGAAAAAGACAGAGAGAGGGAGAGAGAGAGAAAGAAAAACGTATAAAAATAATTTTTTTTTTTAATGCGAAAAAAAAAATTAAATAAAAAATAAAAATAAAATTCCATGAAAATTACTGAAGAAAAGAAAGGTCAAGGTTTAACACAGAAAAAAAAAAAAGATTAAAAGCTTTCACAAAGGTTTTTTTTTTAAATTTCGGTTTTTTTTTAAATTAAAAAAAAAAAAAAGACAAAACTTATTTTTTTTTATATATCGATACGAGAACGACGGCCATTTTGTTTTTTTTTTTGGAAATTCAAATCCGTTCCATTCGGTAAAAAATCACACACACACACACACACACACACATACACAATCTAAATGAAATTTAATTAAATTTTTCGTTTCTTATTCCATGTCTTTTTTTTTTTTAATTCATCCTCTTTTAACGCTTACAGTAAACCTTTTCGGACATTTTGTTTTTTTTTTTTTTGCGTGTTTAAAAATTAAATTTTTCGTAAGTTAAAATCATTGCCGAATTTGTCCGCCATTTTTTTTTTTTTACTTCTCCGAGTAATTACACGATACGAAAAAAAATTTAATTTTATATTAAACCTTAACCGACTTTAATTCAGGCACACGAAAAAACCTTCAATTTATCACCTGACCTAAATCGTAATTTATTCAACCTCAGATTTAACAAACCTCAAACCTTTTTTTTTTTTGTGGGGGGGGGGGAACCTTTTACAAAATTTTACGATTGAGTTACTAAAAAAGAAATTTTAGTTGATGAACTTTCAACTTTAAGAAAAATTCAACGTGGGGAAAAATTTCGTAATATAACAAAACAAATTATTATTATTATAAAAAAAAAAAAAACATTTTTTTCACGTCTCATTTGAGCCGTAATAACCTTTTTTTTTTACTCTTTCCCCCTCCCCACTCTCCCTTTTATATATCCGAACGTAAACTTTGTTTACTAATTACGCTCCTGTGACGCGTAACCGAACATAAAAAAATTTTTTTTTTTTCAATTTGTACGTGTGCGATATAAATTTAATCTGGAAAAGGTTTTGAAAGGTTCTTTTGTTTAAAATAATTAAATATATATATTAATATACACGTCATAAAAATATCGAGGTCAAAGGGCAAACGGGGAACGAGAATTTAATACAAAAAAAAAAAATTTTTCCCCTCCCTCCCTCCTTCCTGTCTATTAATTTTCGTCACGATTAACGTGACGTAATTATCATAATTTAATATTATTATTAATAATACAAATTTTATTTTATTTTTTTTTTTGTTAGGCTTTGAACGGGAGCAAAAAAAAAATTTTTGACCTGATTTCGATTCACGAAATGACACGATTTTTCGTCGACAAAAAAATTTTTTTTCTTTTTTGTGCTCCGGTTAATAAAAATATTGTTGAGATTCGATAAGGAATAGGTCAGGGTCTTTACATGTTAAGATAAAATAAAAATTTTCCGGGATTTTTTTTTTTTTACTGGATAATAATAATAATAATAATAATGATGTTTCTTTGTTTTCAGATTGCGAATTGCGACTTGTTCAACCGGAAGGAAGTTTGGGTACTTCCGACGTACCAGGAGTACCAACTTGTAAAATAATATTTCCTCGAAACGTTCGAGAATCGTCGTCGTCGTCGTCGTCAGATCATCACAAGGAAGGCCTTTTAGTCGAATTGACACGTTTAAACATTCCGTGTTCCAGCGGAGGCTACGTTAATTTTGTACATAATTCCGTTGATGATGGTGGCGGTGGTGGTGTCGCAGGTAGCGAAACGTATAATTCTAAAAAATTATGTGGTAAATTAGAAGAATTGAGCCCGATGGAAAGAAAATTTTATTTTCCGTCCCTTACCGAAAGGGGAAAACCTTTTTTAGTAGTACACAAAGGTCCAGTTTTTTCATTAAACTATCATTTGGTTGATTATTGTTATAACGTGACGTACACGTCACGCAACGGTTCATTAGTTTTAAATCCAATAAAAAATTTATTGTGTCACTTTCGAGTACATTTACCGTACGGTAATAGAGTTTTATTAAGATTACAAATGGGCGATGATAAATTAATGACGACGACGGTGGCGACGACGACGACGACGTCAACGACGATAAAAAATGATAGTGCTCAAAGTCGAGAAGACGAAACATTAGATAAAATTAAATTAAGCTCATTCGATGTGATGATGATGACGGATTCGCTCAATAAATCGGATAATCGTGGTGGTGGTGGCGGTGGTGACACTTTAAAATTAAATCACGACGACGATGACGATGATGATGATGGTGATCGCGATTGCGACGGATTACACGTCGTCGTTTGGGATGGAAGTTTAACGTGGAATCATTGTTCGAAAAACGGTGATCCGAAACGTGACATACAAGTATGGTCGCAAAAAAATATAGTCACGATAAAAATATCCGCTCGTACTCCTATAATTAATTCGGAATCGTCCGGATATCCGGTTGTTAAATTTTGGTATCACGCAGAACCCGTTCTCGACATTGTCGGATCTTGTAAATTCGGTGAAGTTTTAGTGAAACAATTTTGCGTTAGCGTCGTACACGTTCGTCACACGTGGGACGAGTCGGAAAAATATTGCGAAAAACGCGGAGGTCATTTGGCAAGCGTAAGAGATGAAAATTCTCAAAATATAATCGATAATTTTCTTATTAACAAGTAAGTATTATTATTATTATTATCGATTTTAATAAAGTCGTAAGAAAAATATATTTAAAAAAATTTTTGTTTTTTGTCGGGTCAATAGAAAAACAAAATAAAATGTCTGCCGGATTCTTTGTTTTAAGAAAGTGACAGGGAAAAAAAAGAGTAGGAAAAAAATGAGAAGGAAAAGGTTGGGGGGGGGGGGAAATTTCGTGGCACACATTTGAATTTTTTCAATTGTTTTTTTTTTTTTTTTAACGTGGAAGAAGAAATGAATAAGAAAAAAGAGCCAAAAGAAAAAAAAAAATAATTAATTAATTTACCGGAAAGTTAAAAAAAAAAAAAAAATCGCTTCCGTAATTAAATTTATCATCATCATTATTATTAAAGTTAAAAAAAACGTGGCGATAGATTGTTTTAATAAAAACCGGATATTAATTTTCTTTTGTCGTTAAATGATAAAAAATTATTATTATTATTATTAGTTTTTTTTTTAATAATTTTCATATTTAAAAAGAAAAGCCAAAAACGAAAATTAAATTCAACCTTTTTTTTTTAAAAATTTTCTTTTTTTTTTTTTTAAATTTATTGAAAATCATCCGACTGGAAAATTAATTTTTTCATTTTACCTTTTCTCCACTTCCTTTCCTTCATCCTACCTTCCCCTCTTCATAATAGTAATAATAATAATAATAATAATTTTTTTTTTTTGACATCTTTTGTTTGTTTGTTTTTTTTTTTTCTTAAAAAAAAAATTCCAGGTGAATCATAACAACAATCGATCCATAACTTATGTAAAAAATTAATCTACGTCTCAATCAAATTATTATTATTATTATTACTATTATCATTATCATTATTATTATCATCATCATTCATTCGTTTTAAAAAAAAAAAAGAGAGAGAGAGAGTGAGAGAAAATAGACGTAAGCGTAGATTCGCGTGATTAAAATTTGTTATCGAAAGTAATTAAACGAAAATATAATAATAATAATAATAATAATAATTATCCGCCATTTGTAATGATGTATCGCATTAAAAAAATCGTTCGATACTCGTAATAATCGATAAATCGATATTTAATAGTCGGTAATTTTTTTCCAGCGATTATTATTATTTTTTTTTGTAAAAAAGAAAAATTAAATTTCGTTCGCGATAACAAAACTATTAAAGTAATTAGAACAGGGGCCCTTGTTTTCATTTTAAAAAGGCGGTGACAGGAGGAGAGGGCCCTGAAAAAAGTTTTCTTCTTACACTTTACCTTGAAATTTAAACGGGGTTACGACACGTGATAAGGGAAGTGGAAGGGGAAGAGGAAAGGGAAGGGAGAAGGGAATGAAATAAAATTGAAAATATTAAAATCGTTCAAGAAAAATTACTCTAAAGAAAAAAAACCGAAAAGAATGATTGATTGATTGATTGATTGATTTAAATTTGATGGAATTTATGTAAAATTTAATGTTAAATGAATTTTTGAAAAAAAAAACCGATGTTTGAAACAAGAGGAACGCGTTAAAAAAAAAAAAAACATTTCGTGACTACAAAAAAAAAAAAACGAATCGATAAATTCAAGAGCATTACGACGAATATTTGGACAAAACAAAAAAAAAAATTTTTTTTTCTGCTGCTGTTGCCGCTGTTGTTATTCCCCGGGTTTGTTTTTCTTCACGTCCAGTATAAAAAAAAAACGTTAACGAGAAATTAAAAGGTTTAAATGACTCGACTAGTTTTTTTTTTGTAACGCATAAAAATAATTAAATAATATTTTACAATTTAAAAAAAAAAAAAATATCATCCTTGTTTTTTGGTAAAATCTCTCTCTTGGGAAATTATTTTAATGTAATTTTATTACGTGGTAAAAAAAACAAAACAAAAAATTAACACGCGCGCCTAAAAAAAAATAATAATAATAATCCTCTAACTTTTTTTCTTTTTTTTTAATACGAATCTCAACTTTTTGTTATAAATTTTTTACTATTATTATTATTATTCAAAAAAGAGATTTACGTTTATCGTAACGGTTTTTTAATCATTCGAAAGTTCCAGTGAATAATAATAATAATAATAATTACGTCATAAAATTTTCCAAGCATTTAAAAAAATTTGTTTCATATGCCAGCGGAAAATTTTTGAAAATTCATCGACTAATTTTTTCTTTTTTTTAAAAGAATATAAATTATTTTGTATAAAAAAAAAAGCGGAAGAAAAAATTTTAAAAAAAAAACTCTATATAAAAAGCGAATTTGAAATTGGCGGGAAAAATAGCAACAAGACGAATCGCCTTTTTTTTTAAAGTTTTTTCATCATCATCATAATAATAAATTTATATATGATTATTAAAAAAGTTTTAAAAGAAAAAAAAAATTTTTTTTTATTAAATTTAAACAAAAAAAAAAAATAATAATAATTATTTATTACTCAGTTGTTGTTTCTTAATTTTATTATAATAAAAACTTTGATAATAATAATAAAATTTTTACGTAATTAAATTAAAAATTCCGCATTAAAATGTTAATTATAATTTAATTTAATTTAATTTTTTTTTTTTTGTAAAATCTTGTCATCGGTACCGTCAATTCTTTTTTTTTTAAAGTGAAATATGAAGTTTCTATTTAAAAAATAAAATTCAAAACTTTTTTGTTTTTCCCGCCAAAATCGTAACAGCCAATAAAAAAATTTTTTTTTCTTTTCTTTTTTTCTTTTGTTTTCATATCGAAACTTTTTTAAATAACCTTGACTTTGTCCTTTTCTTTTGTATTTTTTCTTTCGTATTTTTTCTTTCTTTCTGTGAAGTTGTCGCTTTGTTTTTTTTTCTTTTCTTTTTCAATTTTTCCTTTTGTTGATTATAATAATAATAATAATATTTAAAATTTATATCTCCTGCTATTTTAAATTTTTTTTTTTTTTTTTTTTTGAGAGAGAGAAAATGTTTCTAAAAAACAAAATGGTTCCTCTTCTAATAGTATAATAAAATTTAAAAAAAATTACTTTTATCATTATTATTATTATTATTATTATTATTGTTACTGTTATTACTATAATAATTATTATTATTATTAATGTATCTTTTAAACATTTATTTAAAAAAAAAAAAATTTGGAACGTCATAAAAAAAGGGGGGGAAAAATTTTTTAAAATAGTAACTTGAAATTGTTTTAAACAATATG